GGTTTTGGCTGTAGCCTGAATCCTATCCCATGCATTTTCTCTTAATACTCGATGTGTTGGTTATTGTCTTGATGTGTTCAGTTATCAACATTTTCTGCCTACATAACATTCATGTAGAAGAGTAAATTATGTAAAAAGCAACCCCCATAGCCACTGGGCTATGTATAAATTAAAAGGCTTATGTGAATTTGTGTATTAATTGAATTTGTGAAAAATAGTGAATTGGCAAACTACTGCTATTTTGCTTTCCTTTCCTCCAGATTTAGTGGCAAGCTTCAGATTTTGCCTGTCTGGAAAAGAAAGGTATTTCAGTGTCTGAAACTGTTCATCTGGCTACTGAAATTTACTGCCACAATCAGTCACTGCAAGTACTTTTTATCTAAAAGTCACTCTCTTAAAGCAGTGAAAATAAAATTACAGAGAGCTGAAGGCTATATAGTAAATTTTGAAAGAGAGGTACCAGAAAACTTGCCATTTTTCTCCTTTTAGCTATTATAAAGTTGCAGCCTTTGGTGTGCTGGCTAGGGTGGCCGGGATGCACTCAACCTTTGAGAAGGTTGCACCAATTCTTTGCCTATTTTTGCTTTGGGCCTGATCCATGGCTTGGAGAAGCTGATGGAAGTCTTTCCAAGTACTTCTCTGGTCTTTAAAATTAGGTGTAAGGTAAAGCTTTACACTTTGCAAGAGTGTACTCTTTGTATGTACTGTCTTCTGGCAAAGCAATACCAATGCCCACAGAGGATGGAAACTACATTAAACTGCATTAAAAATGCTACAGTGAGTTCAAGTGGGAATTAGGTTTAAGAATAACAGATTGGCACGCCGTCTTTGCAAGAGTACTGTGCCTGGCTAGCACCAGTATTCACACATGTGCCTGCTGGGTTGTGGTGTGCTGATCTCTGGAACGATGTGGCCCAATCAAGAGGATGCGAAAACCCAGGGGAGGGCGTGGGGAGGAAGAAATTGAAGTGCTCGTGTTAGATGGAGCCATTGGGCTTGGCCCTCAAAAAAACTGGACCAAGAGTTAGGAGCTGCAGGTTTCAATCCCCTTGCCTGGGGATGAAACTCAAATGTCCCGTAGTGGCTTTAGGCCACTATTTTAAAACTTGACTGGTCATCTGGAAAAGAGTTGGCCCTGCACAGTTCTTTAGCAGATGCCAGTGTGCATCTGGAAAAGGCTGGGCTTTGACCTGCAAGTGGCTGGAGCTGCTTCTCTGCAAGCCCAGCCCCAGCACCAGCAGCGTTCACCAAGGATGGCTGCTCAGCTGCACACCTACACCAGGTATCACCCACCTAATAGTAAATGGCCTTTGCAAGCTGGGTCCTGGATGGGACTGTCCCCTGTGTGCACTGTATCTGTGTACCTGATGGGAACACCACATGCTGCTGTACAGGATGGTGGGGCAGAGGGGAGGGAGAGTTTGCAAAAAGTTGCCTCTATTTTATCTGCCTCTATTTTTGACCTAGTCATAAAGTCTTGGACCTAGTCTTGAAGTCTTTGATCAAGAATCTCATCCCCCTCCTCCATCCTTCATAGCAGTATGCCGTCGCTGCCCTCCCACCCAGCACCTTCTGCTGTTTGGCTCTGTGCCTTGCTGGCTGAAGCTGGATGTGTCCCATGGTGACCTGTGATTTCCCTCTGCTGCTCCCTCCCACTTTTCTAGCATAAAGCTTTGCGTGCATCTTGCTGCTGCTATTAAATGTTCAGTACATTAGCCTCTCAGTAATATTTGATGATCTCAGTGCACAGAATCTCTTGTTGGGCCCATTCCACTGTTAGTAATCATGGGTGTGTATCTATCTTCATGCATGAGCTCTGAGTTTCTGTACTTTTAGGCCCCTCGTTTGGTTTTGCCCCCCTTTCCACTGCTGTCTCCATCCCTCCCACTCCCCTCACTGCCCCCTGGGATACAAGCAGTAACACTGAACCTGGAGCTCCTTCTGCCTGCTGGCAGCAGAGGATGAGTAACAGGGGCAGAGAAGTTAAGAAAGCTTCCCTTGCAGCGTGCTGGCTTGCACAGCCTGTGCTGTGCCAAAGTATAAAAAAATAAGTCAGCATTTCTGATTTGAGTTGGAAGTCTCCCTAGCGAGATGTTTCCACAGGCTAATGCAACCGAGTCCCAGGAAACAATTACTCCCAAGCCCTTGCATGCACTGCACACCAGGGCTCCCAGCACCGCGCGAGCAAATTAATGGCTCGCTTGCCATTTCTTGGCTGTGGTCTATGTAACATTGGAGCCAAGATCGTATTTTTTACCGTCCAGCGGCACCAGCCTTGGGCTTTTTAGTTATTTCTATAGGTGCAGATAAACTATCTCTGCAAGCAGTGACAGCTGAGGTCTTGCAGCCATAATTAGGGGTGAACTGGGTGTTGACACTCTTCTCAAAAATACCTTTCCCTTTCACTTGATGTTGTAGAGTAGATTGCACTCATAAACCTGATGGAGAGGGAGGGAGAAGCAAATGACTCGAGAGCTGAAAGTTAGCTACCCAATTAATATTTAAAATAAATAACTGGCAGGGGTTTGTTGGCTGTGTGAAGCTAGGCATCAATCTATGGAGTGAACTTCTGAGTTTAAACATATTGCACTATGACCAGTGAATCTCCACAATACAGTAGGATTTATTAATAGAAAATATGTCAATATGAGTTTGTCTTTGTACATGTTAGCAACATGTACAGTGAAACACATTTTTTTTTCTCAATCTATATTGTTATAGTTCTTTTGTGTTATCTGACATAACCATTTATATTTTGGGCTTAAATATGTTATTTGTCAAAATGTACTTTCAGTGTTAATATACCTTTAAAATCATAGTTTATCTTTTAAATATTGAATTCATATTATTTTTTTTTTCAAATCAATATTGCTCATGTTAGTGCAAATTTCTTAATCTTGAGATAAGTTAACCATTCCTTCCAGACCATAAACAGCATTTAATAAAACAGTGAGATTTATATAGCTCTACACAGCTGAACAAGATTCTAATACGAAGCTTGTTAAAAAAAAAGAAAAAAAAATTCCGACATTTTACAGTACATCAATTGCATTTTATACATTTTTTTTTTTTTGGAACATTTTTGTTTCTTCTCTATTTCTCTGTGTGATCTAGTACAAGAATGGAGGGAACAGCAATAGGTAATGTTACTTTCCTTTCAATGCACCATATGTATCTTGCTCAGTATGGCAGCAGTGTTGGATTTCCAAGCCTGGAAAAGAAGCCAGGTAATTCAACACCTTCTCAAAACTCAGTACAGCAAGGGTGAATGTTATCAGTTGGAGTACTTGCCACTACAGAAGAATGGAAACAAAACAACACAAACTAAAGACAAAAGGTACTTTATGCCACTTAATTGATCCAGAATCTCTCTCTTGAGCAATGGTCAACATTTGACTCCAAGTAATTTCTAAGAGGAGCTGAAAGGGGGCAATGTGGGCATTTCAGTAGTATGAAGAATGGAAATAAATCCAAGTTACTGGATAAAATCCAATCCTCCTGCCCTAAGAACTTAAATCAGAATGACAGATCCCTTCGGCCTGCTGGCAATCCTGTGCCTGGAGAACTGTGCCAGCCTGGTGGTTATCAGGCAGTCAAGAAGAACTTCAAGTTGCGAGTGACATTCTTTATTAAAAAAAAAAAGTTTTTATACTGAAAACGTGCTTTGTTCAAAATAGCACTGCAAATGTCACTTATCTTATTAAAATCAATGTAATAAATAAAATATAAACAACCTGTGTCCAAAACTATGAATAGTATTTTTATCTACCTCACTATACATCTGGCCCACTGTGCCCCTCCCACCCACCCTTTCTTAAATTTTTTAAAAATTTTTTTGCATGCGATTTTTTTCCCTGTTTACTACAAAGAGCAGATAAGGTTACATATCGTACACTGGGAAAAGCTGCCAAAAAAGATTAAACTATAGTCCTAGATTACTGATAAACCAATTCTACGTCACAATACCTGCCTGCCTGTACTACTTGGGCTGCATCCTATAGAGCAGGCGATGACTTGCGAGAGACTTCTGTGCCAGGTGATGTTAGGACTATTACTATGACTAATCACAGAAATGTTTGCAACCTAAAACAAATTTATTAATTGTAATTTGAGCAATTTACAACACTCCATTTGTGGCGGGTCTTACCCTGTGAAAACTGTGAACTGTTGCCTGAATCAAAGAAATGAAGAAACACTAGATTCTCTTTTTTACTTCCAGAATTCCAAGAGCTAAGATGAATATGCCAGCTCTTCTGGCCTCCCTGCCTAGCTTCCTTTTCTACTTTTTAATTTAAAAAAAAAAATTAAAAAATAAATCTGTCCCTTACATTTCAATTTTTTGGGGGGTTTTACATTAAATGCACAGAAATGGCCAGTATCTTTCATATTTGAGGAATGTGTTTTGTGTATCGGGTTTTCTTTTTTGGTATGGGTTAAAATAAATGATTGTCCTAATGGTTCAGGAGTTGGACCCTTCTACCTCAAAGAGTTTGGAGACTGTAGACTTTAGTCTGTTGGGTCTTTATTTCTGATTCCCTCAGGGACATGGCAAGATCAAACTCTGCCTTCCTTGAGCACTTGCTGGTTGGTGGCTGGAGAGTAATGCAATTTCCTCAAGAGAAGATCAAGAGATGCTATTTCAGAGGAAATGATACCTAAAGGTAAAGGAGCCAGTGAAAAAAAAAATCCGATAAAGCCTTCTTTTGTGAGTATGTGGCCTAACAATTTTGAATTGCTATCAATGATTAAGAAAGTGAGTAAGAGAAAGCACATACTGGAGTTTCCACTGTTAAAAAAAAATAAACAAAAATAAAAAAAAATATGGAAGCTTGAACAAGGAACACACTGGATGAAAAGAAGTCTTACGCCACACAAACGCGCACACTCAAACACATACACGCACATGCACACAGAATACTATGCGTACGTGGACACACACGAGTAAGAATGTGTATTTGTACGGTAGGTTCTTGGAAATAGACATTCTTAGCAAATATGGATGACATATCAATTGTAATTTATTTTCTTTTAACACTGTATCATCATAAAGAAAACTGGTATAAATGAAAAAAATCTATTTCAAATATCTACATCTAAAATTTTAGGCAGTGAAAAAGCACTTTGTTGACAAGGAGTGTGGAATGACGAATGTTAATTGTCAGAAACTGCTGAATGCCTTTTTTTTTAGTTGCCACAAACAAATTCACATATCAGAACGAACAATACTGCTAAATATTCCTTTTTGTTTTTTTGATTTTTTTTTTGAAATTTTTTTTTGTTAAAACGCACCGGGGAAAAGAAAAAAAAAAAACCCTGGAAATTCATACATCTTTCAAAATTTGAAATTGAAGCAATATTTAGAACCATAGATGAAGAAACACTGTGGCATTGGTGTAATATACACAATGCACTTTCTTTTTTTATCTGTAATGTACATCAAATACTTTACAACAATGCATTAACAAAAGGCAAGAAACATCTTGCTGTACAGAGGAAACCCCAAATGCAACTTGAAGCCTAGATTCACAATGAATGAGGATATTAAACAAAGTGTGAGAAGCTGTTCCCCATAAAGTATGTACGTTGCTCAGTTACTTGTGCTTAACTCTGGACTCACATCCACTGTCATGTTCTCTCTCCTTCCTTCAGCCACATTCAATATACAGCACTGAACTTTAGACTCTACAGGCCAACAGTAAAGTTGCCCTACACTGTAAAATATATATATGTATATATATATATTTCTTTTTAATTACTCCCAGGTTTAGCTTTCGTATCTTTTAGCCTTCTAAAAAAATCTCTTAATTTTTTCCATACTGGTTATCTGGGCCTTCCTATGGAACAGGCTTTAACAAACTAAATTTGCAGGAAAAAAAAATGTCTTGTGGTATGCATGCACATGCACAGTTCCTGGAGCTTTTGTATCTGCCCAAGTCTCAAACCCAGGAGTCGGGAGAGGCTGGATAGTGGCTTGTTTCATAGTTAAGTTCACTATAGGGACGAGCAGCTGAATAGAAGTCGACGTAGTTGCCAGTTGACTTTAGTCCCAGGTGCATGTTGTATTCACTTGCAGGTGGACGATGATGCACTTGGTCCTCAAAGAAGGACTCATCATAGTTTCTTGTTGAATTCTGAAACGGCTGATATGGTTCGTAATCTTTTCTGCTGGGCTCCTGTGGAACTGGCTGTGTTGAAACCTGAAAGACAGTAATGACCACAGCTTGTTAGATAAACTTACTATGGGCAACAAGAGGGAAGGAGGAGTAAGTGTCACTCTATGTGACACTCCTGTATACAGGAAATACAAAGTTTATCTTTGTAATCTTAACATCTGCTCAAGGTATTCCTTGGTAATGAATTAATTCCACAGCTTTGCCTTGTCATTACATTTCTTTACATTTCTTTTTAAATAGCTATTAAATACATTTATTATTTAATGTTACTGCTGCTAACAGATGCTAGTTTACTCAAAAAGTAATTCAAATCTGGACCTGAGCAGTGCAGCTTACAGTTCCTTTTGTAACTATAATCTGTGTATATTTTTTTTTACTATTTTGCAGCTATATAATGCAAACATTGGTGGCCAAAACTCAGCCCTGAAGAATTTGGATGGAAGCACTATATACTACAAAGACACTAAACATTTTTCAGCTGCCTTTGCCACAAGTGAGATTTAAAGTGACATCACATCTGTAAGAACCATTTATAGTCTTCAGGGCACTGACATGAGAAAACTTCAAGTTAGGGGCCCTGAAATGTGTTCCTCTGCTACTGTTAAGCTGAACCATCATCTTACTACCTCCTCAGCACTTCATGCTGGCAATCTTGTGTTGTTGCTACATTCCAGCAAGTTGCCTTGAAGCTGAAATATTTATGATGTGCAGTAAAAAATCTCAGATGGTTCCTAAACCAGACAGCCCTAGCGGGTCTCTGTTTTTATAGTTGGGACTTAATCTGAAATTTATAAACATTTTCTAAGTACCTCAGTGGAACACTACCTTTGTCACCTCTCTTACCTTTGGGCAGACCTTGTGACTGCAAAATGATACAGTCTTTCAATCCTCAAATGGTCACATTGGGAATACTGATGCTAAGATGTTGGTGACAGAAGACTCTGCAGATCCTCCTGACTCTGCAAGAGCCAGTAATGCTCCTTCGAGAAGAGAGGAACAGTTGCAGTGCTATGTCCCAAACTCTGTGATATTGTTTCAAAGCATGTCTGTAGTGGACTCTATGCCTAGAGTCCAAAAGGCTCTCCATGCCCTTTAATAATCCTATAAGTGGTCTTACAGCACTGGGCCCAATATTAGAACAGCACAAGGGAGCATAACTACTCTAGTTTCTATTTCTACTACTGCTATCAAGGCGCATAGGACCTTGAGCTCCTCGTTTCATTCACACATTCAAACACAGGTGTTTAATTTTGGACATAGGAGAAAAATTCTATACTGAGCAACCTATTTATATGCCAAAAAGTTAAAGACAGTCAATTTTTGAGTAGAAAATAGGGAACTGAAGTAGTATTTCTGGGTTCTTTTTAGCTAAAAACATTATTTCTGATATGTCAATCATAAACATGACATTTAATGGAGAAAGCAAGCGGGAAAAGGTGGAAAAATTTTTGTTTGTTTGTTTCGTGATTTTTTTTTTTGTTTTGGTTTGTTTTTTTGCTCAGACTCTTATTCCAAAAATCAAATTAGTTGATACTGCAGTTAGAGTGCACCTGCTGTGACAATATCTCATATCCTTATTTTCTCTAAATACTGTGTTAATTAGAAGAGTTTCATCTCTTTAAATGCAATAAAAGCAAAAACACCTTCATGCACTGAACTGGCTCGCACATAAAAAGAATATGGTGCACCACAGGAAATACTGGCTAATTAAAAAGCAAAACCAATAAAGAGAAATGAGGGCGTAGAATATCAGAACCTCTCTTCACCTAAAGTTTGTGGATTAAAACCAAAATATCAGGCTCTTAAATTGAAATTTCAGGTAGTCTAGTAAAAGTTTTGAGAGAGAAATCTTTTTTTATCAGTTTTACTAAATATTCATTGACATGTCTAATACTACTAATAATTTTAAGTGTTTTCCTTAAATGGTTTTTATTCTCATTCCTCTAGCTGGAAAATGCTGTAACTTTTGCATATTACATAGAGAAGTTGTGAAAATATTAGAGAGTTGTAATAATTAAGTACAAAGTAGCATTACTAATGATGATGAAACAAAAGCCTATGGGTGCAGAAAAATGTTTTGTTTCCCAGGGACTGAGGAAATAATAATAATACTGGAAATAACGGCTATGTTAATGCATTATCAGTCAATATTGCAACTTCTTCTGTGAGTGCATCAGCTTGGCGCTCACGCTACCAATTACATTTTTGTAATGTCCACCTTATCCAAACATACTTATTGCCTCCTGCTTTTCACAGATAGTTTATTTCAGGAGTCCCAAAGTTCTAGACAGAATGGCTTGAATGTATATAGGGGAGAAAGTGTCCTTGTGATGAAATGATACATTTTCTCTTGCCCATGCCCCAACATATACATTAAAAAGAAACCAAACAAAAAGCCTGGTTACAATCATGCTTCTGGTGTGACTCAATGGCAAATCTGAGGGCTTTTGCTACATGGAAGTGTAGTGTACACATCCCTGCAAAAGATACAGGGGGTTCTTTCTCCAGGACTGTTCAAGACTCGAGTTTCTGCTAGGATGCCTTAGCACGTGAGCTGTACGTGTCAACAGGAATGCTGAATTTTATGATGGCTACACTCAAGTAGTAAGATGTGACTGGACCTAACCAAATTCACTGGCACAGGACACCATGAGATACCAGAGCCAGCAGAAGTGCCCATTAACATTAGCTTAGCTTTTATCATCTGTGTTGCAAAGACCCAGAACTTCAAAGGCATTCAGGTTGCTCTTGATTTCATCATGAGTTACAGGCTTAAACACCCTAGACAATTTTTGTGCATATGCCATCTACAACAGCAACATTTTAGTCTCCTTACTTACCTGGTTATGTTTGATATCTTCAGCAGGTGCACCATAGGAGTTCCTGTACAAAGTTGAGATTCCAGTGTTCTGAGCTGGAGAGAGAAAGAAGGAAGGAAAAAGCAGGTTTACCAAACATACTTCTTTGGCCTCAAAATGAATTCTGACGGCTTCATTAATTACATTATACAGCATCTGTTTTCCATACACAAAAATCTTTAGAAGCATCTGCGGACCTTTACTTTCTCTTCCTCCCAGTGAACCGTCATAACCTTTGCTTTGGTGCATGTGCATGTACATGGTATACACTTCTTAACGGTAACAGGCACTATGCCATGTTCGTAGCAATCTTGTGCACTTCACAGCAAAATAATTTCATACACAGCTAGCATTCAGTAATATACTTCAGGTTATATATAGGATTTTATACCACATACACTACACAGGTAACAGTTGTAAATACTGAGATTAAGAAGCATTCCATTCTTTTCACTTCATTTGGTTGATGCTACACCAAATCCTGGATTATTTATCCTATAATGCTTTTGCTATATGGTGAAATTATTAATGGAAAAAATGATTAAATGCAACTGAAAAATTAGTTATGCAAAAAATAAATATGTAGTTATACTGAAGAGGTCTGGCAAGATAGTCTCAACTCCATGAACTGCTGTCGCTTTCTTCTCAGACGTCCTACTACTAAAATTCATGGACAAAACTGAGAAGTAATTCTAAAGACAAGGATAATATCATACAGTTTTGCAAAAATTTATTTCCCATCTTGCCCCCCAAAAACACATAAAAAGCTAAGGATTTTCCCTGCAAAGCTGACTTCAATGATCATTTTTAGATTTTTTTTGGTAGAACTAGAATGATTGAAGTTATTTCTCATATCTGAAAGAATATGAGGGTAGTATTTTGTGCAGCTGCTGTGCAGTTTTTACTAGGCATGTGTTATTAACTTTCTAGACATTATAACTAACGATTTGATGCTGTCATGAGGACTTTCATTACAAAACCACGTGCCTGCAAGTAAAAATTTAGTAGTCGTGAACCAGTAGAACTGAAACATGTCGCTCTCACCAATTTCTCCTGGGCCTCTGTGCAGTGGTGTAAAACCTGGAGGCAACTAGAGCTGCTTTTAATACCTTCGCAACTCAAAACCTTTGAGGGTAAGGACTGAGCATCAGAGCTGAAAGCTGAGTATGGGATCCATGCTAGTCACAGCACTAAGAAGAACCACGGTTACTGAAGAAGTAACCACTCTTTTCTTCCTTTGGCAACCTGCTAGCATGGACCCCAGCATGTACAACTTCCTCTACCTTTCCCCCAGCCACCGCACCCTCTCTGGAGAAAGCAAGGGTATGGTCTTTAGTCAAAGTTGACTGTAATGCACCAATTCTGATCTTCACATCTGCTAGGGGTTCCGTGCCAAGGGTATAAATTTTGTCAGGGTTTGGTGTACTGTTCCACATTGCTGCTTTACAGATCTCAGATGGTGTTCTTAAAGATCTCCATCATGTTCTTGAAACAAGACAAAGACAGGGCTTACATGGTGGGGTAGTGACCCCTAACAGCTGGAAAAAGATATTTTTTTCACTTGATAACCATTAAATAATAGAGATGAAAAAACTCATGTTTCTTGAAGGGCTGGATGCAGTTACTGAGACAGAGCATAGTCCCGTGTAGGAAATGGAGAAGAGCTCTGGAGGTCTCCAAGGAGTGCAGCAGGATCCTTTCTTAGAAGGTGGGAAGAATATGAACTCCAGTAACAGATCATGATTGGTCTTTTCCAGTGGTAGGTAGTCTTAATTCTGCCTGTGTGCCAATAGGTGGTAACAGATGGAAATGATGACTGCTTGAGTAGTTTGTCTTTGGCCACAGATGTTAGTACTGAAGGGCCGATCTGCAGAGGTTCTCTTGGCTCAGGTTGCATTTTGTCACCAAACTTGAGCGATGTGTGAGACTTGACTGTTATTTCAGAGTTTTTTATATTCCAGCTGCATCCTCTGCTTTAGTGTTTGAAAATCTCCCTCCCAATTACAGTCTTTGGTATTAGATCTGCATCAGCATTGCTATTTATGGTGCATCTCATGATGGCATGACTCTCAGCAGTACAACTGACAGATCTTTCCTTGATACCATCTTTTTTATGCTGTTTTTTTCTGAGTTTTTTTGCTTGTCCTACAAAGGCTAGAAGAAATTGGGTTATACAAATTCCTCTTCTCAAAATCTGAAGATACTCAGTGTTTCAGCTACCCATTTTGTGAAGTGAGTGTGATATTCAGTGTGTTGGACTCTTATAAGGGGGGAAGAACATCTTCCAAACATTTTGTTTTCATGTATATAAACTGCAAGATAAGCAGGGTTGAAGTCTTATGCATGCAAGTTTTTAGACAGGCATGGCTGAACATATTCAGTCTAGACATGACAATACAGTTCATGACTGGTTGATGTCAAGAATAAAAGATTCATATAAGGTGCAACATCTGAGGGTTTTATGAAGAATCTGATGAAAAATAGCAAACTGGACACATGCTAATTTATATGTTGTTCCTTCAGGCAATCAGAGAGACTTTAAGGAGGGTCATGACCTTTCCATCTTTTTAGAGGTATATAAAAAGGCACATAATACATATGTGCCACTAATAGCCATGACTATTATAAAAACAGAAACAGTCCAGTGTTGGTGCATAGCTGTCCAATGCACTACTGTGACATTTGCACTGATGTGCTCAGAATTGTCACATGCCAGATTGAAGACTTACAGTCTCCCAGATCACATATTCTGCGGTGGAAAAATGGATAGTTTCAGCTTATGAAAATAGCTTCAAGGTCTGCATTGCTGATTTCACTGCAGTGATGTGGATACAAATTCACAAGTTTAAAATGAAAAAAAAAAAGCGCATTCTTTTCTTAATGTAATAAAAAGAAATACAATGACACATCAAATGCTTGGAAATGAATGCCAAGAGTTCAAGAACAAGAAATCTTGGCTTAGTCTAGCCAGGAGGCTGAAATAATTCTGTCTCTGGAGGAAATGTAAGTTAAGCAATGTAGCTGCTAGCAATGCATGCAGCCCCGCTCCAGTACCTGCTTCTGAACACGCAGGTGGCATCCCTGGGAACTCCATTCCCGCTCTGCCATGCTTCAGTGAGCAGTTGACTCTTGCTGTCCAAAAGCAAAGGGCAAATATAAAAGAAAGAAGGGAGAGAATGAGCTAGATGAATGGGCAGATATTGCATGGTTAGTATCTTATTTTTGCTGTTAATACTGTATACATACCATCACAGTAAAATTAGCAGAGAGAAAGCGAGGTTAATGAAATGATTTTCTTTTTTTTAAAACATGGCAAGAGAAAGGAAAGAGGTACAAGGAGCAAGAGATGGAGATTTTCTAGCAAACACTTCTTTACAGAGATGTAAGCTGCGGATGACATGATTTGAGGAGTGATGAGTGTGTGTGCATGTGTGCATTTTATGCAGTATCTAAACATCAGTACATGATAGCACTGAAGACATATTTTTTACTAGGCAAAATGTAAATTTTCTAAAATGATTCTAAAATGATTTCTAAAATGATCATGAGTACTATGATCAACCTGCAGTACTTTATGGATGCATTGCATAAAGAACATCATAGAAAAATACCTTCCTTTTTTTCCCCTCTGTGCAGTTTTCAAGGTAATATTGGTTAAAAAACCGCATATAGTTCCCCACACCAGTTTTCTGCAAAGCTGACAACAGCTTTGAAAAGAATGTCACTCAGTGATTGATGTGACAAAGGTATCACTGACCAAAGCCGTCCCCGTATATCCCAGTCACTTGATTCATCGTTTAACATTCAGCTTTCAGCTCTTCTAATTACTTACTCTGAACACATTTACAGACACCTTGAAATAACAAGGTGCTAGCCTTTTGCCCTCACAAACACAGACTGATAGTAAGAATGGAAAGCTCATCTGGACAGGTAGTTATCCTCATCTGGTATTGTGTAACCTGCTTTTTCTGCTATAAGCAGCAGGACTCCACTTTCTAAAATTTAGTTCAAGGCAGTAAAGAAAAATGCTTCTGTGCCTCACAAATCTCAACTAACAGAGATCATTACCTGTCACTACCACCGCCACCTTCCTGCATGGTGAAAGATGAGGTAAGGGCATGAGAAAAGATTATAGTGTATTATGTTTTCTTCAAGTATTAATAAGTTCAAGTAGCCCAAGCATCGGTAAATAATGTAGCAGATGATGGCGACTGGTTGTGTTCTGAATGTTCTAAGTTTAAATAACAAAAGTAGAGATGATTGATTCTTGATAACCAAAAGAAAATAAGTTAATCAGAAGGTGTTTTGGCTGGTGGAAGTGAAGACACAGGGTACAGACTGTGATGCACATATTAGTTCAGCAAGGGAACTAACAAAGTAAAAGAAACTTTAGAGTAAGAGTCCCATGAGAGTATACAACAAGCTTATCTTCCCTGCTCTAAAGGAACACACCATAACATAAACAACGTTATCACACACACTTATAGTTCCTGTTTTTTTTTTTCAAGGAATATAATAGTTTTTGTCTTAAAAATATACTTTAGGTGATAAAATTTTATTATTGGTTATTATTTTCTACAGAGAAGATGGATAGTAAACATATCATGCATCATAAACCTGTAAAGGGAAGAGGGCAACGAGAACTTTGATAGTGTTCCACTATTTTTTAGCTGTCCTTAGGAAATCATTGTAAGTTAGCATCTTCAGCCAAACTGTTTACTTCATAGATTCTCCTTTTTCCCCAGAGGTTTCCTGACAACTCCCCACGATGGCAAGAAGCCAACATTTTTGCTTCGAAAATCCATCAAAACCCCTTCATTTCAGTCTGAGCCACGAGGTCATAAAATTTTTGAACTATAAACTGAGAAGAGCTTTGGAGACAGTCATGGATAAACTGGGACTACATCTGTGGCTCTACATTCTGTGTAAATCCGTAAGTCAAAGAAAGCTTTGTGTAAAACATCAGCTTGGCACAAAATACAAGAACAACTCAAAATATGTACACGTTAGGTGGAGCCGGAAAAAACATTTATCTAAATCCCATAGGCTCTGTGGATGTATTAAATGCAATGCATTGTCTGATACACAAAATGAAATAGAGGCATTGCAATGAACTTGCTAGATGAACTTATATTAGATCAAGTAAAGTCAAAATGTCTCACAATTAAAATCACAAATCCTGATTTTATATTGCTTTTTAATTAAATATTTATTTTATGAGCTACAAATATGTTACACAAATTTCACGTTGAATGTTGATGAGTGAGACTTCTTCTGTCATTTTCTTTTATTCTTAAAATGGTGCTTAATTTGAGCTCAGATCAAATGAGCAGACATTTGGTGACCTGAAAGAGAGAGAAAGTGATTTGTTAATTTCACATTCATTTGTACAATGGTCATAGAAGATTGTGAAATATTATTAAACTTTTCAATTTGGTTTTGGTTTTGATTTTTCTCACTGAGGTCAGTAGCTGGAAAAATAGTTGATAGCTGAGCATTATGCTGAGTTTTTAGTTTCCTTACTATAGGCCCACCCAAAAGATCAGTAAGAACAGACAAAATACAAGCAGATATTAAAGGAAAGTAATGATGCAAAAATCAAAGTGGAGCAAAGGTTGCTGGGGAAGTACAAACCTTATGATCTGAAAATTATATTGAATGAGAAAGGAAACAAAGGAAACGGGAATGGGAGAAGAAAAACACTACAGTCAAAGATAAATGAAAAGCAATGGGAAAAAACAAAACCACAATTTTTTAGAAGTGTGAAAAGAGACAAGGCTATCTGCGAGGAAACACAGATTTTCCACATGGAAACCCTTTTTTTGTGAACCTTCTGATATAATCTGGTAGTCTAAATTTGCAGATACAGCTAGAACAAAATACTAATGTTTCTGCCTTTTCAGCCTGCTGCAGAGTCCCTCTTCATGGATCCTTGACAAAATGCTGAAAAAACCGCAGTCCTGTCCTTCACAATCACACAAGTAAGGACTACTGAAGTTTTTTAGAGGACTACCTTGTGCAGTGACTATGAAACACTCAAAATATTACAGATACATAAAATGCAGTACCTTGACTGAATCTGCTGCAACTTTCTGTAGTACGCCGTAGACACCGTTCAGGACACTCCGCATTTCTGTGGTTTCCAAATGCTCTTGACTGCCATTCCTCTTCTTCAGATTGTCACTTTCATGCTAATTAATGTTCTGTATTGCATTTTCACACAAATTCAAAAGCTGCCCTTAAGGTTTTGACCATACAATAGCATGTAAAACAGTAGATGTAGTATGAGTATCATCATATCCTAAATATGGTCTTGAAAGCTAGTGTGGATGGCCAGTCTCATGCTGATGCTGAGTCTCATGCTACTGGTGTTACCCATGAGCTGAGGAACATAGAGACAGCCCATTCTGACATCCTCTGAGCAAGACCCCTACAGAGGGCACGTGAAAAGGTAACTGGCATTCAGAAAGTGCAGAGTGATTCCTCACTGTGATTTTTTGCTTGCCCTGAGGGAGCATTTGGAGATGTTCTGGTTTTGCTACCACAGGAGGAGAGGACACCATGATGATCGGCACTGTATAAATGTACAAAAATGTTCAACAGAGGTTATATAAGCCTGTGCAACAGTGACGGAGACCAACACGTATTTTGCAAGAGAATTAACAGAGAGGCACAGTACTAGGCAAAGCACTCAAAATTACTGAAGTGCTAACAAGTCTATGAGATCACTAGGGGAGAGAAGCCTTCAGTGAAACCTGCAATAGATGATGTAACATACACAGAGAAAACTGCTCCATTTACATCAGCTGAGCTGAGAAAGTAACAGGGGTAGACTTTACAAACTGCTACCAAAATTCCTAGGAATGAATGACATGCAAAATAAGCTAACCTGACCGGAAAGCCATTCCCTGCAAAAGACAGATGTTAGGGATCACCACACATGCTCAACCATTGTTATGCTTCAGAAATAACCTAGTTAATACAAGGTGGGTTTACTAATTTTATTCTGAAACGAAAACAAACTTAAAGTTAAAAAGAAATGTAGAATTGCTTTTAGAGCCTTTTCTCTGTGAAGAAATACCGCCTTCACAACTCCTTTTTGCACAGCATTGTATTCATTAAGCTTAAATATTTCTTCACTTGTACTTAAGGTGGCTAAAACCTTGGAATCAACCAAAGCAGGATGATTCTTTTCTATAGCAGAGTAAACCCATCCGTGCCTATAAAATCAGTGGTCTATCACAGCTCATTTTTATATATGCTATGCAAGCATGATCTCACCTGTCATGGTGTCTTTCCTAGAAGTGTGTTCTCCCTTATTTCCATGGTAAGTGGCGTTTGTTCCAGTTGATTCATAGTCTGTTTTTCTTTCTTTTAGGCTGATCATTTCCCGAGGTGAGGCTGGGGCACTTGCTAGATCATAAAAATGGATTTATTTTTTCTCGCCACATACGACCGAATGTAGCATTTAACTCTAGAGTAAACATTTTAGTAAAGTTTATAGTTGTTAGCATACTAACATTAAGCTGTTTCAAGAAACACTACCCCATTATGGAAGAAAACGTGCTGTTATTTCAAGTACAGGACAAATGCATTCATGGGACAATCAAGTCCAAACATAATTTTCTCTCTGAACATTTTACTTTTTTCACTTACACCCAACATCTAAGATGATCATTAAGAAAAAAGTACAATAATTATGATTTCCCCCCACCCCCCGCCCCTTTAGCTTTTTAATTTCTTTAACTTGTGAAAACTTTCTGGTATAGGCAGTTACATTTTTTTTCTCAAAATGGTTAATATATTTCTGTTGAAAAGACCATTAGCTTTCAACTCTGTGGAAAAACCCTTATAAAATGGTTTCCTCCCTTCTCTGTTGAAAATAAACCCATTAAATGATTCTAATGGGGATGGGAAAAAAAGGAAGGTGTGTTTCCTAGAAAACATATAGCAAAGAATGCCTAACACTTAAAGGTAAATCAAATAATTTATCTGTCTTTAAATACCAATGTATGAACGACTGCCATTAAAACAACTGCTACGTAAAGGTATCATCAAAACTAAATCCTTCACCACCAACACTTGCGGTATGGCTAAAAGGAGAGAAGTACAAGGTGACTAGGTGGAGAACTGGTTTTGTACTTGATTCTCACATGCCAGAAAATGTGAAGGTGACCACTGGCACTGATCATGAAGACTTAAAGCTTGCAATGCTTAGGAAAAGGAGAAAAGTAGAGCTAAAAAAATGGCTTTAAAGTCAACTCGGTTCAAGATATTTAGGTGTTGCTAGACACAATGCACCTTTCCTGTTGTGGAAGGCAGGGGAAGGAGTACAAGGCGAGTGGCAGAGCATCCCAGAGCTTCATGAAGGAACAGAAGAAGAGCTTCACAGTGGAACAAAAATAACTAAAGTGCTGGTGCTTGCTGCCACTTCCTGCCCTGCCTCTACCCAGATATTTGATAAAAAGAACCTCAAAAGCAATAGCAATGTCCTTGCTTAAAAAAAAAAAAAAAAAAAAAGCAAAAAGCAAAAAAAAGCAAGACAAGCTCATTTGTGAAGCTTGATTGTGAGTTCTGTCTTTCGTCATCTCTAAACCATGTTACATTTTTCAGTTAAGGAGTAGGGAAGTACTTGTACTTACTTAAGGAGTAGGGAAGCACAAATGATGTTAAATTCTGCTTAGATTGGTTCTGCTGGCCCTGGCCTCTGAATTTACAGGGCAAATATAGGACAGATGGTTTTTCTTATGAAGCCATTGGAGTTGAGGATTGCTTTTAAATTGCTTGTCAATAGTGATGCAATTCTAAATCTGATAATCCAGCAGATATAAAGAAACGTGACATTAAATTACTAAATCAGCTAACGGCAACTTGAGTCTAATTGGGAACAAAACAGAATGCAAATGTGGGAAAAGTTGCTCGAGCAGGGATGCATTTTATTTCACACACTCTGGTAATGCTTTTAAGCACTCTGGTGTTTTGAACAAAATTGACTGATAAGGACAGAACCACCTCTTTACGTTCCCTGTGGGAATTATCTCCTCCCATGTGAGAACAATTGCTTTCTGGCAAGTGTTAAAATTCTGAAGTGCCCTCTTTCAGAGTTTTTACTGGAAGTCGACATAAAATCATTGCTTGACATTAGACTAAAAGGTGGTACCAAGGTTTTCTGCTCTTATTCTTGAAGGACACAGAAAAGATAGAGCTCTCTACACTAGTTAAAGCATTTTATCACCAAGTCCAAGGAATGGATGGGACACTGTGAGCTCATTTACTTTAATTCTTTATTCCAAGGTAGGATCCAGTATACCAGAATAATTATTGACAGATTTTCATCTAAAACTAAAGATCTCTAATGATAGAGACCACATAACTGCTCCACACTGTCTCTTCCAGTGCTTTGTTTCCCTACTGTTAGGAAATGTTCCCTGATGTCTAGCCTGACTCCTTGCTGCTCATTATTTCCATTTGTCTGATACAAAAGTAGAGAGAGTTCATGTGGTTCCTCTTCACAGCTGGCTGTTATGTGCTTGAATACTTGGTGCACAGCTCCTCCCACTGCCCCCATCTTGTGTTTCTCTTATTTGAGTTACACAATTACAGTCCGTTCAGTGTGTCCTCCTATCCTGATTTCTCCACCGCCCAATTCATGTATGCAAATGACAAAAATCCCTAACTCATTTGTAAAGAACTTCTGTCTAGCCAGATATTCTCCTTAGAATTTATTTGTAAAAGATTGGATCTTTTTTTCCCTTTGGACAGTATCTCCAATTTCTCAGCATCACTCCGAATTCTAATAATGCCATTCAAGGTACATGAGCCTCTCCCAGGTTTATGTCACTTGCAAAGGTAACAGGCATCCTTTGTATATTATTTGGGTCATTAATGAAACCACTAAAGAGTACTGGGCCCAAGGCAAACTTCCAAGCAAAGCATTCTTCCATTTTGACAATAAGCAATATTATCTGAGAATGGTTTTCAGTCTGTTTTGTATTTACCATACATGAGGTTTTCTGGACTGTTTGCTAGCTTGCCCTAGATAGTCTTACTGATTACAGTAGGTTTCATTTATTGACTATTCTTTCCAAAAAGTCCTTTAACTATGTTGTAGCAAGAATTCAGGTGGATTTCATAAGAACAAATGTTATCAAACTAATGTTTGGTTTTGATATGGATACTATCAGACAGACAGTAACTTACACTACTGAGTATAAACAGATAACTCCTGGAGTGAAGCAGTATCTTACGTTCCTACTCTCTTTGAGGTGTTCAGATTGTGATTATTTGTTCCAGCAATTTTCTAGAATGAAGTTGAGCTGGCTGGTCTGTAATTATATTGTCTCCTCTTCCTTCAGAAACAACCACTGTATTTGTCCTTTCCAGTCTTGTAATAACTGATAATGGGAGTAAGATTTCATCCAAAATTTCTTTAAGTACATTCTTTAAGCAACAGAGCGACAGAAGTGAGGAGAGTTCTGGCAAGAGACAAAACCAAGATCTTAGGGCCAGACATTTCAAGTGCCTTGCACTTACAGTAAAAATGAGATTTTGGAGAAGAAAAAAAAGAACAAGAGCCCTTTATGGACTTTTGTAATGACAGATTTCGAAAACTGAATAGCAGCACTCGTACTTCTGGCTACATTTTCAAATCTCCTCAGTGGCTGTTCTGCAGGACTAAAATGCGGCTTCTAGATAATTAACAAAATAATTTTCTTAAAAGACCCAAACAACTATGGCACAATACTGTTGGCAATAATCAGTTTGGCCAATTTTAATCCTAAATGCTTGGTATACCTATGGAACGACAGCATGTGACTCAACAAGTAGTAAAAAGCACATTGAAAAGCTGACTGTTTTACTCTGTTCATTTTAGAAGATTTTTACTAGGAATGGTTTTATCTAACCAAGGTATGTTCTATCTTCAAATAAGCTGAGGGGAAAATGCCCAGATTTCTGAATAGAAAAATTAATTACCACTGCAGCATAAGTTGAGATACCTATATTAATTCATTGTATGGATTATACAGAATTAATGATAGCTGGTGTAAATATGCCATCAATGTTTCATGAAGACCTGTAGTCAATCTTTTGTGAAACTTACATATGCATGTCTATACACATTTATACATACATACACATATAATCAGAATAATAGCTGACAAGAAAATAATGTGAATAAGTGTGCAGAGTGGTCATCAACCACATAGTGGTTTTCATGACTAGCAAAGTGAGTAACAGAATTTCCTCATGCTACAAATGGACACCATTGCCCTGAGATCTAGTCAGGTAATCCCTATCAGGAAAACACTGCATGAGAATTCATAACAAAAAGTTATGGAATATTCTTTCTGCTGTAAAACTTTACAAGGTGTTAATAAAAAAAAAAAATCCTGTTTTGAACAGATAATTCAGGTAAGACTAAAGAATATATTTTATGCCCTTCCACCACTGTTAACAACAACTCTGGATGCCAGTGACATTGCTTCAAGAAGGAAAGTGACAGTGATGGATTACCTCTGTCTTTACTTCAGTCCTGAAAGCCTGGTCTTACCTGAGCGGTTGTTAGGAGACATGCGCACAGGAGAGATGGAGGGTGTGCGTGATGAAGAGTACGGTCTTTGCCGATCCCTTTCTATTGTTGAAGATGAGGCTACAAAGTGATACTGTGACCATCCGTCCTGCAACATCAAACATTGCACCAGCAGTCAGTGGAAGTGCCATACAGTTCTCCATTTCAAGTACAGAATATTTTCCTCTACTGTTTTCACTACATATACACAAGTAGGCTACTATCTTTTTCCTGCCATTGGGTGGCAAATATTCTTAGTGGTGCAGGATACGACATGCTGACTGTACTGACAAACCAGGAGAAAAATTAAAAAGCAGAAAGTCCTGCAAAACAGCACATTTCAGAAAGACTCGATGAAAACACTGAACAACTTTTTGGGTTATTTGTTTAATAGTTCTGTCTTTTTTCATGCCTATATTTTCACATTGCAAACAGCATTCTGGCTATGAAAATATTCCAAATCGTAAGACTGCTTGTTTTCACAGTGAAAATCAGTTTTTGCTTTAAATCATTTCTATCTTATAAGGAAATTTTGGAGTAATTAGATGGAGAAGCTCCAGGATTATCAAAATGATTGTAACTATTTGGGTATCTATAGTCTAGTTATATTAACTGCCCATTTGTTTGTACGTGAGGCAAAAAGAATCAGTGCATTTTCCTTGTTGCATTTTTCTCCAAGATGTACAGAAAGAAATTCTATTCCTTCTATTTAAAACTGTAGTAATGGTGGTGTATTTGAAAAAAAAAAAAAAAAAAAAAAAGAAACAAAGTAATACAAACACTAGAAATAGCAGCTAGTTCAGAAATAAAAAAGGAGAGTTTAAATAATTCATGTTTTTTTCCTGAACCATAATACAATGCAAAAATCCAAAATAATGTACTTTACATTTTTAAAAGGATATTAAAAATAGTTTCAAAGTATCATGAGAGAATAAATTGGCTTTTGCTAGTGCTCTTATTAAATGACAGTATTTCAAATGTCTTAAAAGTATTGATAGATTTTAACTGTCTTTATCACTGCTTGATGTTAAATGTAAATCAGTAACAGAGTTTTACTAGTCTCGCACTGAAGGCACAAGCCTTTGAAAAACACCTAGTTTCTGCTGGGATCAGTGTAAATCGCATCAAGCACCTGGCATGGTGCTAAAAAATGAACCATGCCAGGTGCTTTGCAATGAAATGCTGAATAAAAACAAACACAATAAAAGATTACCAAAAACCAGCTGGAATTTTCTTTCTTATAGAAAAATAAATTCTCCATTCGGGTAGTAAAGAATATTCCCACCCCCTACCTCAGGCTACTCCAGACATCCAACCCTGAATCCCATCCCCTCCCACCCTCTGCCTTTGCCCAAGGCATCTCTCTGCCTTTGTTCTCTCCACAGAAACCACAGGCACCTGGCTCTCTGAACTGCCAGAGAAAATCGCCTGAAAAGCCCCTTTCCACTAAACTTTTAAGAACAAGAACTCAGCAAGAGTGTGACACTTTCTCTTTTAAAAACAGCAGGAGGAAAGAAGATACTTATACTTGATGTAGAGGGAAGTGGTGTAAGTGAGTAAATTGTGATAGACAGATGTCACACCTAACTACAGATTCTGAATATCTCTACTCCTTACATAACACAGTTGTATAAACATGTGTGTTTGTCAGTTATCATTTCAAAGGAAAAAAAAAAGGAAGAGTGAAGTTGGAGCCACAGCTTTCACAACAGAGACATGATTTTCCCTGGAGTCAGTAGTGAGCGTTTGTCCACAGAGTTCACTCACGTTTAGGAAACATCACTGAACTGCACCTCATATTTCATGACAGTCATATAAGAAAATACAAGGAAGAAAACCAGTTAATTAATAAAAAATGGTAAGAACAACTTGAAAAAAGAAATAGTTAATCTTTAATACCACTTTAAGCCCAAAATTTCTGATACTCAATCTTTCATTTCCAACAAGCAGCTTCTACACAAGCCGCATCCTCCAGCCTAGAGGGAGGATCAATGAGAATGTAAACAAAACCATCTGTAAAGCCCTAACTTCTTAATGTTAAATCAAATTGGAAATTATTAGAAACTTTTCAGTATATATACATATAGATAATGTGTAGTTATAATACCTGTGGATTTTTAAAAATAACTAATAGTTTATAGTTATAAGGAATAGATTAAATCCAATAATCTTATCCAAGCATCAAGACTGTAAATAACATACTTAGCATTATTTTTACATCTTCTGTTAATAATAACTTGCACAGTGATTTCTCTACTATAAAAATGAAGTAACAAACATGTGAGAAGCCCATGCTTTTATCCAGCTGAAGAAAAATGGTTCCCTTCTTCCTCGTTCTCTGGGGTCAGAAGTTCTCACCAGAGAGGTGACTCGCTACAATTCACTTTGTTATAGTCTCCTGACCATTTATTTTCTTTTAAATAGACTGCTGAAGAAAAGACATGAAGAGGACAGACTTTAGATCTGATAAAAGGAGAAGGAATAGACTATTTTTTACTGTCTACCTGCAAAAGGAGACATCAGCCATGCTTACACAATGCAAGTCAGAAATGCTTCCAGCTTTGTGGATCTGGATGCATGCATGGCCAGGTACATTCTCCTTTTGTACTCTTGCTTCCCTCAAATAAATCCTTGGCATGTAGGTCAGAAAAAAGTGACCTGAATCTTCTCCTGAACCCTTCTTCCTGTTGTCCATTCCATCTGTATTATTTACATTAATACCTGGACTCTGGTTCTGATGGGAAGTAGATGAAATAAATCCCCGTTATCTGCAGAGTCCACAGACTCTACAGGAATAGCGTGTGGCACCAGTTTCATTCTGGAGAATATCCACAGGTACTTTGTCAACGTTGCTTCCTCAGAAACAGCACTGCAAGGTGCCTCAACAGCGAGGGAGCAAAGTCCAGTTGTAGCTGGGATGCTAGCAATAGCGTTCTTCTGCGTGGCAAATGCTTTTCCTTCTGCTCCTCCCTGCAAATTTTCATTTTTCCCTCAGCCTAGAGTAATGCCTATAGTGAGGTATTCAAACAAAATCTGCTCCAAATTTTCAAGTTTGTAAGCCCAATCATCTCCATAAAACAAGCCAGGCAAACAATTAACTCTAACAGAAGTATTGTGGTGACTTGGCATTGTTTTTGACTAAACAAGACATATTGCTATCACCGTAAGACAACCTTCATTGTGTTTTTCAACAGCATTATGGGCAGCTCCAGGACCTCGTAGTATTTCAAAACTCTAATACTTTTAAGTCATCTTTCTTTAGCTCTCCTCTGCTGCAAGGAACAAGCTTCTTTCCTTGAAAAGGTAAACATTTTGTAACAAATTCATTAAAACTATCCCCACCAACAATTCCAAAAGCTATTAGTGTTAAATATTGAAACTAATTTTTAAGAGCCTAAAGGGAGTATTTTCAATTTAATGCTGAGATAAATACCACCTGACGTGATGGCTGCTTTCATTAGTTTGTTTCAGCTCTAGTGCCTGTAATGAAATTTAATTAAATTGATTTGGGTACTTAAAGGTACAGTATATAGCAGTGTCCTGCAGAGAAGAAAGCTAACTCAAAAGCAAACTATGTGAGACTGCATTTCAGAAACCAATTTACCAGTCCCAAACGTGATCTAGGAGAGGAAGAGTAAGACAAAGATCTGACAAATTGGAAAGAAATTCAATGCAATTCTGTTACAGAATGGATGCGTTTGTTAACTGGCAGCAATTAATTAATAGGTGGCAACTGCACACTCCAGGAGGGCACAGAACAACCAGAGTACAGAAATACCATTATATGTCCTTATTGTCTCTTCCAAAGTGTCTTCTACCAGGCACTTCTTTATATTTTGACTATAATGAATATATTTATTCTCCCTCAATTATACTTCTTGAAGTCCAAATGTTGAAACTTGATTGTCAGTGACATGTTTCTGACAATATGTTCTTGGGAAAGCTGCAGGGATTACATTTGGTACAGGGGTTGGATAACCACTGTAGGAAACAAAAGTGATGTTGTAGTCTCACTGATCACCTTTTACTGGACTTAAGGATCACGTCATTTGTCACCCTGCTCAACTTTTAAGTCCTTTTGAAAATATAAAATTTTCTTCAGGCCCACAGGAAGTAATTATTTTGTTGAGGTGACTAAACTTACTGTGCCAAACATCTACTGCATAGGTGTCTTATGAAGATATAATTTGGGCTTTCCACATTATTCTTTTTGTCTTTGAAATGTTTCAAATAAAAACCAATTTTTTTTTTTAAAAAAGCAGTTTTCTATTGTGTTTGCATGAATTTCAAATTTTTAGAACTCTCTGGTAGTGGAGTCCTTGACTTGATGAGATGATTTGTGGAGGTGGGTCATATCAGACACACTATTTTCACCTAGTCACCTTCTATGACAAAGTAAACTGCTTGGCTGATGTGGGGTGAGCAGTGCACATTGTCTACTTGGATTTCTCCAGGGCTTTTGATATGGTTTCCCACAGCCTCCTCCTAGAGAAACTGATGCATTATAGTCTAGACAAGTGGTCTGTGTGGTGGATGAGGAACTGGCCGACAGGCTGCACCCGGAGGGTGGTGGTAAATAGGTCCTTTTCAAACTAGCAACCTATCATAAGTGGGGTCCCCCAGGGATCAATATTGGGCCCAATGCTGTTTAATATCTTCATAAGTGATGATGATACCAAAGTGAGTGGGGAAGTAGACACTTTGGAAGGGAGAGCCACCATGCAGGAAGACCTGGATAGTCTGGAAGACTGGGCTAACAAGAACCTTATGAAGTTCAACAAGGACAAATGTAAGGTCTTGCATTTGGGAAAACATAATCCAGGAGTGCAGCACAGAATGGGATCTACCTGGCTGGAGAAAGTTCCAGCTCTGTGGAAAGGGACCTGGGGGTCCTAGTGGACAACAAGCTCAATATGAATGAACAGTGTGCTGCTGTAGCAAAGAAAGCCAACAGGATGCTGGGTTGCATCAACAAAGGCATCACCAGCAGAGATAAAGAAATCATTATCCCACTCTACTTGGCGCTTGTCAGGCCACAGTTGGAATTGTTTGTTCAGTTTTGGTCCCTGCTACGCAAACAAGATGTGGGTCCTGCCTCCTCCAAGCTTACAAACTCTCCAGCATGCTACTTCTTGCTTCAGACCTGATCCTCTCGTGACTAGATTTAATCCACAATTATCCAACTGACTTGAAGCATACAGGACCAGACTTGTTTTGTCATCCTACTTCCTTATCTGTAAGCCAGCGTTTCACCGGTTCCAGGAATGAATTGTGATAATAACTGCTCCTGTAATGGTAATTAGTTGTAGAAATGCAAGTTGTGATAGGCAACCACTTGCAGGTATTGGTAACTAGACCCACGATGGTGTTACCAGTGGGTGATACAGCAACAAGGTAAAGTGCCTGTAAGTACATAACATAGGATCTCACTTTGAAAGTCAGACAGACATTGCTCTGAGCTGCTGGTGGTGCATCTTTCACAAGCTGAAGCACTGCTGTCAGGTTAAATGAAACATCCTGACTGGTGTGCACCAGTGTGACACTGTCTAGAGTAAAAGACAAATTAAGTCAAGGCTCATCAGACTTACACAGGTCTGGGTAATTCTTCACTGGGAATTTGTTGTCATGACACTAATAAGACACAACAGAAATTAGAACTGGATCAAATTATCTACATACATTGACATATGAAAGTTATGTGCGTGACTTGACTGTGGTGAAAAATCTAGAATGGTAACAAGTTTGGGTGATCCACCTGTGTATCTCACAGAGCTCTTAAATGGGATTTTTGAAATAATGTGGTTTAAATGTTCACCAACCACCACACTTATCATTAGGCTTTACAACCTGGGATCATATTATTTTCTTTCAATACAAGAGGAAGAATAAGTAAGTTTCTCAGTGCTTCTCAACAGAGATACCTGACATCTCTCCCTCTGCCAGCCCCACGGCAGCGGAGGCTAACCACCCCTCACCGTTACACCTGAATATTGAGTTGGCTGTCAGGATTGCTCCCTCCGCGCCACCTAAGCAGTTGACAAGGAAATGTCAGCTGCTGAAGGAGAGATGGAGAGATGGCTCTTGTCTAAAAAAGCTCTCACCTTTGTATTGAAGTGTTTTTACTTTGGAAGAGGGATTTCAACTAAATTCTTACAACTTCAATAACTCTAGAAACACTCTTGAAAAACAAACCAACTACTTTTAGATAAACTATCTAATTTAAAAAAATAAAGGTGTTCTTTCATTTTTTTCTTTGAATTTACAGTGCCAAATCCTATTATCAGTATGTGATTTCTGTAATTATTGTCCTTTCTGGATTTGCTTGCATTGTTACCCAGGAAGACTCAAAACCAGTAGAGAATTCCTGGGCATTGATCTACTTTATGATTCATCCTAAATAAATCTACTTCATTGATGGTTTTTTACTGCCATCAGCTAAGCTACAAACAATTAAAAGCAGAATATTGACATTTTTACTCCTCAGATTTTGTCTTTTGCTTCCAAAGCGGGAACTCAAGATATGTTGTTGAACAGCAGAGTAGGGATTGAGCCTGGAATATCCTGGCATTCTCCCAGCTTACACACCAGCAGTTGCTGTTTGGGTTAAATCCTTCCAACTAATTCTGCATTAACCGTGCAAGTGGAAATCTGGTGTAATTCAAAGGTTTGCTGACTCCAGTTATCCTGTTTCCCCTCCTCTCCTAAAGAGTTATGAGCTAGGCCCTCAAAATCAACAGATACTAAGTGAAGACATGGATCATTGAAGCTCACTTTAATTTGAGGATTTTAGTATTGTTTATAGTTTCATTTCCTCACCTTACAAAAGCCAGAAAATCACTTAAAACGGAGAAATTATTCAAGTTTGGGGGATTTAAAAAATATAATTATAATTGGGATAAAAGTGCAGGAGTTGCTCACAGTAAGACCACTTAACTGAAGTGGTTAGAGGAAGATACAGTTTGCTTCCCATGCCTTCTGATGATGATGATGATGATCACAGTTACTTACGGGTTACAGGTTATGTTGGGAGTTAAGACACCTGCTGCTGTGTGAGCTTGGGAAGAAGACCACTCGCTCCTCCCTTTGCACAGATGTAACCAAGGGGAAAGGACGGAGACGCTGCCGAGAGCACCAAGGGAGCAGTGCCAACACTTGAGCCAAGGCAATGAGCAGTGGGGGCTGAGCCAGGCAAGGAGGGACCAAGCCAGCTGGGCGGCAGAGCTGTCACCAGAGCAGTCGCCTCTCCCAGGGCTCTCGGCCCCCCACCTCAGGGCCTGATGCTGGGGGGCTGCCTCGCCGCTCCCTGGCCGGCGCAGCTGTGCAATACATGCACCACTTCAGCCTCCCTTCTTATGATGAGCAGTGGGCTTGACCTCAGCGCTGCTCTCGTTTTTACTCTGAATTTCAATGTACAAATAGCTTTTACTTGTAAGTGACCATTTCTGCATCCCAGATACAGCAGAAGTTCAATTGCTTAAGAAGCTGAAACAGAAATATGTATTTAGGGCAGCATGAAGCTTAAAGAAGGGCTTCCAGTCAAACAGTCATTAACCACAACAAAACTGTCTGGCACTATAGATAATAGATGAGGATTATTAAGTTTTCCGTAGGCTCTTTAAAGTGACATTTTCAGAATCAGTGGTTAAACTCATTCTTTTTGAAAGGAGAGGTGTACCTCTCAGCCTCCATCTCAGCTTCTCTCAAAGCAAAGCCATCATTCTCCTGTTGTCAGCATTCCACCTCAAAATAATTTGGAATATTTTCTCTCCCTTTTCTCTTGTGATGGCAGAGCCTGAGGTACTACATTCTTCTGAGAG